CCTGATGGACAATTGTGGTCGGTCTAGCAGGGCGTCTTCTGTGAAAAAGAGTCTCCCGCCCCTCATTGAGGGTCGTGTGTGTGCGGAGTGTCAGACTCACCCTGACGCCACTTTTCTCGTCGTGACTATGTTTTTCAGCAGGGGGTGCCAGGATCAGAGCAAGGCTGGCACCAACGAAGACCTTTGCTCTTGCCTGTGATATCAGTCTTGGACTCAAGATTGACGTACCTGCATCAGTGATTTAAAGTCTTTTTGGCCCCTTCTTTTGTCGCTGTGTGTGCTTCTTGTTTGTCCTGGTAACGTTTTCGATTCTAGAGGGAAGCCATCGGTCTCGCCACTCGAATACCTGCCCACTCGAAACTTACCGGTTGTACTCGAAAGATGAGATCTCTCCTTCGGGAGTTGAAGTGTGTGTATGTGTGCATGTGGGGTGTATGTGTGCAAACGTTATGTTGGGTCAGATGCGTGCCTGGGTTGGATATGATTTGCGACTTTTTCCTGCCTGTGGATGTAGCCAATTCGGCTCTTAGCTGAGCTGGCTAAGAGTCTGACCGATTCGGGCGCTATGTTTGTGCTGGTCCTTGCTTTGGCCAGCATTTCTGTAGGGCTCCCAGTTTTCCCCAACCTCACGCATGGATCAAGAGCAGCCACTGGCAAGTCGAGGTGGCAAGAGGCTCGGTACCACCTTGTGCCCAAGAAGGAGTAGCCTACAAGGACCTTTTGTGATGTAGAAAATATACCAGCATTGCCCGACCTTGTGTGGCATTTGCAGCAGTGAGCAATGGCAAGAAGCTGAGTGAAGGATCCTGCCGTGACGCGCAAAAACGGGGGCAAACCATATGATGCACTGGCGTGCCTTGGCATGTGTCTGCACTTTGAGGCAAGGGAAGTCATAGCACATCATCTCGTCCGAGGTGCCAGATGTATTGTGAGACAACCCCAGATTGCAATTTTTTTACATACTACCAGGAATCAAAGGACTGCACGCAAGGATGCTTGCAGCATTGCAACAAGATCCGCTGCCTGGCAGGATTGTTGGCTTCTGGGAGCTGACGCAATCATGACACCCAATGTGGCGGGTGCCGTGAGTGGGCCAGAGGATTGCAACCACATGCGGGAAGGCAGCAATGTGGCCACGTCTGAGCCGAACCCCCTCAGCAAATACCCGGACGTGAAGGTTGCTCCTCAATCTCCTGAGATTTCTGAACGTGTAGCTGCGCAAGACGATACTGATGGTGTGCTTGCTGCATCTTCTGGGGGCTCAGACTTCCCATTTGGGTGGGTTCTGGGCTGCTCTGCTGCAATTGAGGGCATTGCTTTGAACATGCACTGGGTCTTGCAAGCTAAATCGATTGGAGCAGTGTTCGTTGAGCCTTGGAGGTGGAGCAGCAGCTGGGCTCGGTGTTGCCGGGCTTGGCGCTCTTTTGTGGACGAAGTCGGGAGGCGGCAAGAGCGAATTGAATGGGACCTTTGCAGGTGTATGTGAGCTGGGTTCTCCGTGATGTTGAGAACCGCTGAATATGGCCCCCCTAGAAACTATTTCCTTAGAAGCCGGTCAAATTCCCCCCACCCAACTCCCCACTAGAAACCGGTCAAACTCCCCCTAGAAGCCAGTCAAATTTACTCCAGAAACCGCTAAATTTTCCCTAGAAACTGCCCTGGTAGGTATATATCAAGATAGAGATGCTCAGCCCCCCCACGATCTACCTTTGCATGCGTTTGTTGTTCCGCTAGACCGTTTAATATGAACAGAATTCTCGTAGCTTCAATTTGAATTTTCAGTTTAAACGGATTTCAATTGGGTTTGACTTCTTATTCTTCTTTCAAATTAGATGCTTGAGGTGATTTCCTTTCCCGGAAATTAGGCTAAAAAGTGGATTTCCTTTCCCAGGAGGATGTGTTCATGTTTTTTCAACAAGAATTTATACATATTTTAGCAAGGAACACATTCTAGTTTTTGTTCTGATTTCAGTTAGAATTGACATGGGTTCTTTAAACAGGATTTCAAGCACATGTCAAGCATGTTTTGTACATTTCAAACTATACTTTAAAGGTGGAATTGCTTTCCCAAAAGACACGCATCAATGGAATTTAGTAAGGAACAGAGGTCTAGTATAAATCATGCGTCAACTAGAACTCAAATAGGATTCCTTTTGAAGAGGACTCCAATTGGGTTTTAATTTGACATGGTATTTCTAAATAAAAGTTAAATATATTTTCTTTCCGATGAGGATGTTTGACTCTCAGAAACATAATATATATATATATATATAGGCACTAATAAGGACATAATTCTAGTAGAACTTCTAGTTTCAATTAGAGTCTCAGTATGTTTTCATTTTTAAACAGGTTTTCATTTCGGTTTCCATTAGAATCCTTATTTCAATATTGCCTCTAAAGGGGGTTTCCTTTCCAGAAAGATTTGTTCAATCTTTCAAACGTAGTTTAGATAGCGATTATTTTGGACCTATATAATGCCAGCATAATCTTTAGCTTCAACTATAAGTTGAGTAGGCTGCTTTTCACGCAAGCGGATTTGACTGAAATCTGTGTACACTTCATATTTCGGAATATGTTTTAAAGGTGCTATCCTTTACCAGGAGATGTGTTTGTTGAGCAGACCTGAATCGGCTTGGGTGTGTGTGTGTGTGTGTGCGTGTGCGCGCCACATGCCCGAGTCACAACAGCAACTTGTTGTTGAGCCATGCAAGTGCACAAAAAGTCCGCCCGGAAAAAAAATCAAGCGCAGACCCAAGCGACTCCTCTCTACCTTAAAACCAACCTGTCGAGCTGCGAAGCTAGCCGTCTGTCAAACCAGCTGTGCGCCCAGCTAGCTATTTTTGCAGCCGTCTTCTTGTCAAGCAATCTGTTCGCCAAGCTAGCTTCATGTCAAAGCAGTTTGTCTGTCAAGCTGGCTAGATGACCAAAAAAACACAATCCTTTGAGGCCAATGCTGTTTGGTCCAAAAAAGAACAAACACTTCCAGGCCTCAACATGCTGTACGGTCACATTGTTTCTGGAACCTTATAGTATTTTTGAAAAATTTGAGGCCTGGAACTCAAATGCCTGCAAGGTCGCGAAAAGCACAATCTTTTCAAGCCTCCCGGGTCCAAAGACCAAAATGATTTGTTTTGTGATTGTGTTTTACCTGACAGCACTTTGCAACCGTAGGATTGGGTTTTGAGAACCTTACAGCGTTTTGAGGCCTGGAAGTGCCAAAATGCTATAAGGTCCAAACAAGTACCATCCCTGCTCCAAGACCCCAAATGATTGCCTTTTTTGTTTCTTTGGCCTTACAGCACTTTGGAGCTGTAGGATTGGGTGTTGGGCATTGGAGCTGTTTGGGCCTCGAGTCGCTAAACAAACGAAACAACTCGAGGACTTGATAAGAGCAAATGAGCGTATCGCAGATCTCGTCCCACACACACCCACACACCCCCACACCCACACACCCACACACACCCACACACCCACACACCCACACACCCACACACCCACACCCACACACCCACACACCCCGCACCCACACACCCACACACCCACACATACATGTCACATTACCCCACGAGTGCGTGCGTGCGTGAGTGAGAGGGCGTGCGTGCGTGAGTAAGAGTGAGTGCACGAGCGAGCACGTGCGTGGGTGCCGCGTGCGTGAGTGCGAGCGTGCACGAACGCGTGAGTGCGTGAGCGAGCACGTGATTGCTTGACTGCCCTGTCAGCACGCCTTGTCAGGTCAAGTCATTGGCGTATAGTTGTTGCCCAATGAATGCAACACAAATGCTTGTATTATGAAAACAAATAGAGTTCGCTGTACAGTATGACATGTAATAAAATGTTCAACACAAATGTGCAGTGAGGCAACAGCATGCAATGTGGCGTACCTTGATGCAGTAGGTGCATGGCAATGTGATGCTATCTTGCGAAATGCGAACAAGTTGGCTCTCAGGTTTTCGGCAAAAAAATGGATTGAAGAGCTTGGCATATTGATGCGCTTGTGATGATGCGTTCCTTTGTTTTAGGGTTGGCCTGCTTACACTCTCCAACAGGCATGGGCCGTTCACGCAAAAGAACATCCAGAGGTGTGAAGGCCTTGACATGTTGTGCAACATGTGTTGTGGTCACTGATTGGCGAAGGTGGATGGGAAAGATCAGACTGGTGTTTCGAGTGAGGACAGGCCATTGATGCAAGGCCGGACATGCTTCGATGAACTCAAAATACCTAGTCTCATGAAAGCCTTCACCGTCAGGCACAGTGCCGGTGCCATCGCCTTTCCAGCCTGCCTTCCAGATGCAAAGCATGCCTCAGGCAGTGGACTGGGAAGATGTTGAGTCAGAACCTGGTCCGAGCTTTTGCCATACACATTGCATCAGGCGACGCCATATTTTGCGCCGCCATCGCCTATGATGAACCAGCCTTACAGAATGCCCGCCTATGGCCATCCACCGCAGGCATCTACAACTTGTGTAGGTTGAATTTTGGCAGGCATTTGTTTCTTGCACAAGCTGGCTCGTGCAAAATCGCGTGCCTTTTTGGTTTAGTATTCTGCATTTAGGCAGGCCATGTCGCGGCCATGTGCTAAAATATTTTGTACATCAGGCATGCTGCAAACACTCACGCCGTGGCATGTCAGGCCTATGCGCCGCGGTACTACGCTTGAAGCGCCAGCGGCTGCCAAGTACCCCCGCTGCTGCAAGTCACACAGTGCTCCTAGCTTGCAAAGGCAAGCAGTGAGGCTGTGGAATTGGAAGTAGGCTTACGACGTTTGCTCTTACGACGTCTACTACAATGGCTTAGATAATGGCCTTGGAGCCGTGAAACGTTGGTAGATCATCACTTGGAGCATGTTGGCAGCGGCCAGATGGTTGATCACAAGTGCGCGTCCAGTGGTTCCAGAGCTGCACAACAAGACCATGGACACTGAAACCATGCATGTTGCACATGTGACCAGCTTTGCAACCCAAGTGCAATGTTTGCATCTTTGTTCCACCAGACATGGCTCTCAAAGGATACAATAGCCATGTAATGATCTCAGCCGTACTCGAATGGATACATGCTGAGCTCAACGACCAGGCGCGTCAGAACCCTGGTGGAAGTGGTGGACCAGCAGGCTTGCTCGCCAACTTGCAAGCTGCAGGAATGGCATCTCCCAAGAGTTCCCCTTCATCTCCTAGCAGGCGTAAACCGGGTGCCAACGGTGCCAAGTCGCCAGTTCGGAAGAATCAAGGCAGGGACTGCCATTGCTCTGTTTGCCAAATCAGTTCAAGTTATGCATGCAGGTCCAAAGCAGACCCTCACCGCTGCCACTGAGCTGATACCGGAAGGGGATGACAGATGGGCTCCACCGGTGCAGCTCTCACTTGGACTGTGCCAAGTCTGGGAGGGTGTCTGAGAGTTGTCAAGCCCACCCCAAGGCATGGGTACAAACAGTGCTGCTAGCCCACAACGAAAAGCGGGCTGCGCATTGGACGCCACCCTTGGCATCTTAGTGGCAGGAGTGTGCAGATATACGAGCATCATGAAAGGCTGCCAATGTGCTGAGGTGTGGAGTCAAGAGTGCTACGAGCACGCCAGGACGCGTGATTGTAAATAGTTTTGCTGCAAAGGCTACGCTAGTACATTGGATTGAAGACGGCTGCAGGATGCAAGCACAGGCATGTGAAGCAGCTGAGCGGCGTTTGCCCGGCTGCCAAGATTCTCCATACATCTCTGAGTTCCTAGTGTGATCTCCAAACATAATTTGTTATATCACTGAGCAGCAACCAATGGTGGCATTACTAAGCATGTAGCACAAGTGTAGGCACGAGATATGTTCCAACATGCTGATCTTCCATTGGCTGCTCTGTGCTTTTTCTTTGCCGAAGCTGTACGACCGGGCATTTTGATTGGTGCCAGGACCAAGAACTTCATCGAGAGTTTGAGTGGTCGACACGGGCAGAACTTGCTTGGGCCTTCAAGGACGGCGCCATGGATATGCCCAAAAAATATGAGCAAGCCAATATTTCATATCCCGCCCTTATCCCACCTTCAAATGCTTTCTGAAAGTGTGACAAAGGATCCAGGGAGTGAGGAAGGGTTTGACTGTCTCGTGGTCTTCAAAGTGCACGCCTGTTGAGTCAATTCTTGGCTGCCTATCCCTCTTTGCCGCTGATAAAGTGGACACGACTTGCAGTCCCTTGAATGTTTGGCTGTCTTGAATTATCCGTTTCCTGCTGACTTAGCAGGTGGCTTCCACGTTCATTGTTGTGTTTGTTGGGTGTTTGAACAAGCAAACAACATAACGCGCAAGTGAGCAAAATAGCACACACAAACAACAGGTGCAACTATTGCTGCTACTGCGAATTGGCAGGCAGCAAAGCAGCTTGCTGCCTTTTTGGTGGCAAAACTCTCTGGCAATCATATGTCCGAATTGCGCCTTGTACATATTGTGGTTTGACTGCCCATGAGTCTTTGACAGCGGCGGGTGGCGAGATGGCCTGCCTCCTGTTTGAATCTCCAAATAGTTAGAACGGGGTTGTGGCCCCCTTTGAACTGCTATTTCAGACACCCCTCGATTGGTTTGGGTTAGTGGGGATTTGAACCCCTTATAGAGGGTAAATGGGAAACCACCCCTAACCACCAAACCCAAACCACCAACTAGAAGCAAGCTGGCAATTGTTTCAACAACCTTCTTTGGGTTCCCCTAGACACATGGTGCCTCGTCACGACAAAGCTACTGAATTCCAATTTCTGGGCCTGCGGCCTCTAGCCGGCTGCGCCTCTTTGAAGTTATACCATGTCATGCCATTCCCCAGACAGCTGAAAGTTATAGGGGTTCTAACTTCTAATAAAGAAGGGAAAGTGATTTGCGAGATTAAGGGCCGGGTGCTATGGGGCATGCAGTTTGGGGTGCTGGTGGAGGTGCTAGGGGGCATGCAATTTGGGGTGCTGGTGGAAGGGCTGTTTTGCGAGATTGACGGCCGGGTGATAGGCGGCATGTAGTTTGGGTGCTGGTGGAGGTGCTGTTTTGCGAGCTTGACGGCCGGGTGCTAGGGGGTCCAAGTTGGAGTGCTGGTGGAGGTGCTGTTTTGCGAGATTGACGAACCTGTGCTAGGGGGCATGCAGTTTGGGGTGCTGGTGGAGGTGCTGTTTTGCGTGATTGACGGCCGGGTGCCAGGGGGCATGTAGTTTGGGGTGGCGAGAGTGATGGCCAGGTGCTAGGGGGCATGCAATTTGGGGCGCTAGTGGAAGGGCTTTTGCGAGCTTGACGGGCATGCAGTTTGGGCTGTTGGTGGATGCTGTTTGGCGAGCTTGACTGCCGAGTGCTAGGGGGCATGTGGTGCTGGTGGCGGTGCTGTTTTGCGAGACTGACTGCCGGGTGCCTGGGGTGCTGGTGGAGGTGCCGCTTTGCGACATTGACGGCCAAGTGCTGGTGGAGGTTTGCGAGCTTGACGGCCGGGTGCTCGGGGGCATGCGCGCTGGTGGAGGTGTCGCTTTGCCAGATTCCGAGTGCTAGGGGGCACCCAGTTTAGGGCGCTGGTGGAGGTGCCACTTTGCGAGATTGACGGCCGGGTGCTAGGCGGCATGTAGTTTGGCTGTTTTGCGAGATTGACGGCCCTGGGGGTGCTAGTGGAGGTGCCGCTTTGCGAGATTGACGGCCGGGTGCTAGGGACATGTGGGTGCTGGTGGATGTGCTGTTTTGCGAGATTGTCGGCTGGGGGGTGCTGGTGGAGGTGGGGTGCTGTTTGGTGCCTGTTTAAGGCGCTGATGGACTGTGGGTGCTAGGGGGCATGCAGCTCGGGGGTGCCGTTTGATTGAGGCGCTGGTGATGGCGCAGGCGCATTTTTGCGAGATTGATGGCATGCAGTTTGGGGTGCGGATGCAGGTGCTGTTTTGGGGTAGTGTGGGGTGCTGTTGCGGTGCTGGTGACGTTGTGGGCGCAGTTTTCCCAAGATTGCCGGCGGGTGCTGGGGATGCAGTTTGGGGTGGTGGTGCAAGTGCTGTTTTCGATTGCTGTTTGATGTGCTGCTGACCGCGCGGGCGCTTATTTCCCCACATAACTGAAAACCATGCGGGTTCTAACTTCTAATGAAGAAGGGGAAATGTTTTGCAAGATCGACGGCTGGGAGCCAGGGGGCGTGCGCTTTGGGGTACTTGTGCAGGTGCGGTTTTGGGGCGCTTTTTCGGGCTGGTGACAGTACCTGGCGGCAGGGTGCTCGGGGACATGTGCGGTGCTCGCGCGGGTGCTGCGTCGGGGTGCTGTTTGGGCTGCTGTCTTGAGGTGTTGGTGACGGTGCGGGCTCATATGGACGGCAGGGTGCTAGAGCGGGCGCTGTTTGGGGCATCGCGGTTGTGGCAGCATCATGATGCTGTCCGCAGCATCATGATGCTATTGAATCGGTTCGGATGTCATGGTTTGTGGGTGTGGTGGCGCCATGATGTCAACATCAGGATGATGCTGAATTTCATTACGCTGTCGCAAGACGATTCGTGGCTGTGGTATCATCATGATGTTGCCTTCACCATCACCATGATGCTGCCCGCGTCATCATGATGCTGCCCGCATCATCATGATGCTGTCCGCATCATCATGATGCCGTCGAACTCATTAGGACGTCGTCTCTGCTTTTTTTGCTAGATATGTAGCGCGGAATCGTTCGTGGCTGGTGCATCAGCATGATGCTGTCAACATCACCAGTATGCTGCTGAACTCATAAGGACGTTGTCTGTGAGTCAAAAAAGCACCATGCAGAGCGGCTGTGGTATCACCATGATGCTGTCAACATCATCATGATGCTGTCAACATCAGCATGATGCCGCGGGAACCATTATGATGCTGCGTCATGGTTCGTAGCCGGCCCACCCAAATCTCAGATGATGCCGGGGATGCCAGCTTTCTGGGCCCCAGCCGGCCCAACCCAGAAGGCTGACATGGGGTCGCGCGCGCGCGCTCCACAAGGCCCGAAAACCAACGGGAAAAAAGCAAGGGCCGCGCAGCACGCGAGCCAGCCACAGCGAAAGCAAAGCGGACAGAACAACAGCCCGCCGCTCAGCGCAGCAGTTTTTGACGGTGTTTACAGCGTTTTGTAGAGCGAGGGCCCAGCATCGCCGGCGTGACCGGCAGCGCTTGGCGCCAAAATGCGCAAAAATGAGCCTCGCTTATATCCCTCCAATACCTTCTAGAAAACAGTGCTTCATGGGTTGCGAGGCTTTTTGGAAGGAAGTCTTGATGATGCAGACCAAGCCCCGCTGAAGCATCACCCAGGCCCAACGCCAGACCCTGATGATGTCAGCCACATGGCCCAAACCCTGCATATACGCGATGTTTTGCGATGCAGATGTGCCGGATTTAGGCAACGCATCACGACCAAGTGACCTGCTTGCTGACAGGGACGTTGTTATGACAATTGTGACTACGCATTTTTTGTCGGGTTTCACGGCACTTAAAGCATATATGAAAAAGAAGAGCAGCACGACAATTGATGATGTTTTTGATGATGCATTTTTCCCAACATTAGGGATGCTGATAATCATTACTATGCATTTGCATTCTCGCCAGCAGTTATGATGATATTTGTTACTTTGCAGCTTTAGCATCACCAGCAGTTGTTCTGATAATTATGACGACGCATTCCCAGTGCCCCGGGTGTGTGGAAACTCGGGCAGGAAAGCCATGTTGGGGGCCTTTTTTTTCTTCTCAAGACTTCGATGTATTGCTGTGGATGCGAAGCGTGGACTTTGTGCCATCGCTTCGTCTTCGCGAGAAGTAAGCCGTTCGGAACACCTCGGGATGCAATCAGATGGTGATGGTGATGATGCTCATGATGATGATGAACTATGCACTCCCGGCATCACCAGCAGTTATTATGACAATCATGACTACGCATCCCCTGCATCTCAAGTCAGGTCTAACGGCACGCTTGAAATGTGTGTAAAAAAGAAGAGCGCCACGGTTTTGATGATGAACATGATGAGGAACATGATGATGATGATGATGATGATGATGATGATGATGAACATGATGATGATGAACATGATGATGATGATGAACATCATGATGATGAAGATGATGATGATGATGATGAACGTGATGATGACGAACGCTACCATCATCACTTTCATCATCATGTTCATCATGATCATCATCACCATCATCATCATTTTCATCATCATCATCATCATCATCATCATCATCATTTTCATCATCATGTTCATCATCCATGACAACGCATCCTCTGCATTTCCAGTAGGGTCTAACGGCACACTTGAAACGTATATGAAAACGAAGAGCGCCGCGGTAGTGATGATGATCCGGATGCTTTGAACCATCACCCAACTTCAGTGGTGATATCATCATCACTAAGACAAGGACAAAGGCAAAGCCTTCCCATGCGCCTCCCCTTTGGAGAAAGGGGTCAGCGGACACCTAAGTTTTGTGTGACAGCAAGCTGGCCTCGGTCAAGGCGCAGCTTCACAGCCTATGCCACTTTTCTTGCGTTACACAGACCCTTGCTGTATGAAACACAATCATGAAAAGCCATTCTCACATTGCAATGTTCCAAGTATTCGGAAGCTGGCCGTTGTGGAAGTGGTGGCGTGACATGCCAGGCAATTCAGTATGAGACTCTTTTGATTACCGTGATGGAAGCGGAGTGGCAAAACAAGCATCCAGGAAGGAGCTGAAGTGGGACCAAACAGCTGTGGAGCACGTGGTCAGCCAGTGGTACAGCGAGCAGGCGGCAATGGCGATCGTATTGTTGCATTGCAATTCTCCGTCCATTTTCATGATTTCATCGCAGAATTGTAGCTGATGCGGTCGCCAGCCATGTTTGGGGCAAGCGCTCCAGGAACTCTATGAGTTTTCACGTCCCGGACCGCAGAAAGGCTGTGTGAATTTCATTCAGATGATGTGGGCTGGTACATGCTCAGCTAGCGTCTCAGACAGCTAATTGAAGTGTCAGTGCACTGGGTTGCTGTACTTTTTCGCTGACCCCGGTCAGTCAGACCTTGTTGCAACCCAGGTTGGAATGGCCCTCTCGTCAAATGGCAGATA